TCATTACTCATTAATCGTTGTTATTATACAATATCGTCGTACACGATTTTGCTTGAATTGTTTTTGTTGTTTTTTTCGTTCTTGTCGAACGTCATTTCAGGACGAATTACGCAATCAATAATATGGTTTTGATTCTATCTGAAAAATAGGATTTAATTTCACTTTTGTATTACGTCACTATAATTGTCACAATATTGTGAGTTGTATTATATAGTATATACTATAGCAGTGGCGCTAAATGAAATCGAAACTGGCAGTTCAAATAATTTGATTGATCCACCCTTCAAATAACTGTTAAACGGGCTTAACTAATTATATATAAATAATTGTATGACATTCCCATGTTCAATAAAACTATAGTAAAAAAACTCATTATTTTACCCAACTTCAAAGTTACTCACCGAAGTACGTGTTCGGCGCCACTGCCCATTGTAGTATATAATATTATGAATAATACTAGAATTATACTTCTTATTTTATTATAGATATCTGCATAAATGCCCAACAACGGTGACTTTGTTGCGTTCTGTGATGTGTTTAACCATACACAATTATAGCATTCTTCATAAATATGAATAGCGCCAAAATCCGATTACGAAAATCTCTCGATTGCTGACGTATAAAAAATAAATCAAAAACTTCTTTAGTCACTTGGCTGCAGTAGGTATATTATGTAGTTGTTATTATTTTCGTGAATTCGTGTCAAAATATGTATGTGACGTAGAGCACAAATCTCGATCGGTTTTTTTTTTTTTTATCCAAATCTGAAGATTAGGCGATATTAAACGTGAGAAATTACGGACACAATTTTTTTTTGATATTTAAGCGCTGTTGCGATTTCCATTAATTTGTGATATATTACTATCGCACTTGCAACTATATATATTTTCATATGCAGCGTGTGGCCACTGTGTATATCGAAGCAAAATCATATTATATTTTAATTTTGAGCCATCTCGCGTGGAGTTGCCCGTGAGTCTCGCTTATGGTAATGCGAACAGTATATTATATTATCAGGTAAGCAATCTACCTGCGTTAGATTACAGACTCCGTGAAGTTGGTGATAAGGCAAATGAATCAGTCAGGGCATCAGTCTATCAATTTTTTCCATGTTTACCCCTTTTAACCCTCTAAAGGTTGAATTTTGAAAAATCATTTCTTAGGGTTTTTTTGAATCATAAAATGAAAATACTGTCCAAATTTCATACCCAAAGCTTCAGAGGTTCCGGCTAGGCGATGATGAATCACTCAGGACAAGTCATTTTATATACTATAAAGATTATAAATAGATGTAACAGAGAGACTTGACGAATGAAATAACTTTTTGTTTTAATTAATATTAAAAATATTTTTTATATAATATTATGTTATTGGAGCTTGCGCTACACATCTAATACACAATTTTTTTTTATTTTAAAAAGTAAAAAGTAAAAAGTTTAAAATTCGATAAAATATTTTTTTATAAATTTAAAATAGCTTATTTGTAAATCTGGATTTTAGAAAACTTTTGATGGTAAAACATTAATCTAGGTTAAGTGGTTTATTTTTACTATATTTTAAAATGCAAAATTATTTGAAGGAGCATTATAATATGAAAAGTAAAAACTTTTAAAAAAAATATTTATTTTTTAACAACTGTCTATTTAAAAACTTGTAGTCAATCACGTAAATGGTAAATCGCGAATATTAAACGTTTCAAATTAGACAAGTATCAGCTGCAAGTTCTAAGTCCGGCACATATTGCACATATAAAACAGAAAATACTTCCCAATACTATTGTTCATATAAAATTATATAAAAATAAATAAAACTGAAAAATATTGATTTGAACAAGTAATTGAGTAAGTAATTTTATATTATTTTTCCAGTTATTTCTGATACATCATCCCTTAATATTGTATATTATACGGCGTCAATATAATTGTGGATAGAGTGTCGACTATTATACAGGGTGATTCGCTTAGCATGGTCACCCCTATTTTTTCCTTCAATAATATATTGTATTTAATCAAATTCTGATTCTAGTATTTCATACTACACACAATTTTAATCCCTAGACTGAACATTATAGTAATTAATATTAATAAATCAACATATTTCATAATTTGTAAACATTTTCCAAATATAATAAATATAGTATATTAGTATATACTATTTTTAACATCACATCTGATATAATATATATTTTTACAAATCATTTTTAGTTTATATATTTGAATAACTGATAAACTGCAAGTTCCAATTTTGATTTGGATAAATATAAACAGTTTAAAAAAATAACCTGATTATAAATTAACAGAAAAAAAGATGGTTCTCATTTGAAAAACAGAATTTTGTTTCGGCACAACAGGATAATCTTCAAACGGAATAGAAAATTTGAATAATTGAAAATATTATGCTCATTAAGTAGGCATACACTTCAACGTTTCTAAAAATCAGAATTTGAATGAATTCATTGTTAAAGGAAAAAAATGGGACTGATTGTGCTTGGTGAATCACCTTGTAATATAATACAGGCCTTGCCGGAGGCTGACCGTCGTAAACGACGAATATTCACTATTTATATTTTATTAGAATTAATGTCTTCCAGAATTCGCGATCCGTTTCATTTTGGACGTCAGTCTTAAACAATATTGTATATAACAACGTTAACATGAATTTTCGAAAACTGTAATGAAATTTGTAACTGGATCTGAGTGGGTAGGTATCGAATTCACGACGGCGGCGGTATGATGTCATAAAAATGTTTCACGTTAGTGACACTGTCTCAAAAGGCAGCGACGTCTTTCGAATACTGTGCAGAGTCTTTCATAATATTATAATGCAAGCATCACATCCTATCCTTGGGATATCCATTACAGGTAACTTAGATATAGTTTACAGAAGCTGGTTGGGATAATTCGTTTAGCTGAAGTCGATTCGAAGCAACATTATTAAACGGTATAGCCGGTATAGAAATGCCGCAGCATATTATGGCTTTTAGCTGTTGTATCGCTTAGAGAAAAATGTAACTTCAAGAGAAGCCTAGACTGTTAAGAGACACGTGGATCTAACTGCATAATACTGTTACGTGAAAACATCTTAAAGAAAATAATATAACAAACCACCATACGATATCAAATATTAATTATATAAATTATAAACAATATAGTTATATGATTATTATCATTAATTATCTTATATTTTGTAAAACAATTTTTGCCTTTAGGACTATCATTCTTAGTATATACATATTTTTAATAATGCAAAAAATATACCTACTTGTTTAGATTTAGATTTGAATACCTCAGCATTTGCAAAAAAAATAATCTGTTTAACAAATTAACAATAAAAAAAAGGTGGGCAAGTGGGTGTCGCTCTGCTGTACAGTAGGTTACAAGTGGGTCACTGTAATGGATTGTGTTAAATTTGAATACAATGATATAATATCATTGTATAAGAAAAACAATTCTGAGCGAAGACGGTCAGTCAGCCTATGATTACTAAGTATACTTGATGAGTATATTATCTCTGCTCAGAATCTAAAAGTAAGGTCTTATTTGAAAAATGAATATTTTTATCGCTATGGTACACTCATTAAATGGTATAAAAAGTGTTAAAAAATTAAGTTCTTAAGTATACTTGAAAAATGAAAATCTCAATAAATAAATTATTAAATAAACAAATATATATACTTAACCAGAATCACCTTTTATAATGTTTAGATGTTATCATGTTAAATTATTATACTTACCGGATACATATTTTTATAATTTGGTGTTACCATTGATTAGCAAAAATAGTAAATTTTTATTTTATTTGTATATATATTATAATCATATCAGACAGACTAATAATACTGATTTCAAAAAAAAAAAAAAAATCATGTTGATACAATGACTGTACAATAAATTGGTACTAAAAGTTAAATGTTATGAATAATAAAAATATATTTTTAAAATAGCATGTAATTAACTTTTGATAAAAGCTTTTAAAATCGAAATAAATCTCCTGCGATTTCAGTACGTGATTAATTATTTGAATTCTACTCGAGCCATATAATTTCACATGATTTCCTGGAAATGTATGAATTACATAGTGTTTGAATATTTTAATGATCTCATCTAGTAAATTATAAAGTTTGAAATTATTAGATTTCTTTGTATCATATCAAAATAATTATACGTAACTGTAATATGTTTGGAATAATTTGAAAAAAATAACAATCGAAAATAACGGGTATATTTTTTTTTATTAAATAATAATTTTCTGTCAGGCATCTGCATAAAAAAAAATGACACCTTGTGTTGGGTTAAATATATAATATAATAATTATAACATAATATTGCTTTATTGATTGTCAATCAACTTCAATAAGAGATAAAAAAAAAAAAAAATATAAGGACACTTATGTAAAGTGTGAGTTGGTCAGACTGCTCTAGCTGGACACTAGTCCTGAGCGGAATGCCAGTACTGTCTAGGAGTCTCGACTCTCGACTAGACGTTCACCGTAGTCATTAGTCAGTAACAGTTGTTTCATGTAAAAATGTTTTCTTGTTTGTACAATAAATAGCGAATGGTTAAAGAAGAAATTGGTTGTACTTCTTTTAATTATATATTTAACAAATTTAGAAGTGGGATGGTGGATTCGGTACCACAAAGTGGATTCGTGAGTGAACGTGTCGATAAGTGTTGTTAAGTGTGGTTCGATCGGTGTCGAACACGTGGATTGCGACGACTTGCAGGAAGACTTCGAACGTGTCGATTGTAGTCGAACGTTGAAGCCAGCGTTGTCTCTAACAAAATCATCGAAGACGGTACTTCGGTAGTTGCGAAAATTCTGTTGGTGCGGAATATCGGACACGAGGTCTTGTCGGTTAAGACGAACGTCGAGTGGTACAAGTGTCGTGTACGGGAAGTGTCGCGAATTTGGAGGTTAAGTTCGAGTGTCGCGCCGGAGTAAGTGTCGTAACCCAACCAGTTACCGCGACAAATTATCAACTGTACCGATAGTGATAACAATGGTTAATGATAAGGAGACAAGTTCACAACAACAACAACAACAGCCGGTAAAAGCGCCGACGTATAATGAGTTGATGATGTTGATCGGAGAATTACGCGAACGGTTACAAGTTGCCGAAAAAGCAGCGGAACAAACGAAAAGTGACAATGCGTCGGTTACGAGCGTGAGTACGGGTAAATGCAACGAGATTCGCATGTTCGCAAATTTAGACAACTCCGTAAAAGTGTTTACGGGTAGCGAGTCAAATTATGATGCTGCAGACTGGATACAATCCGTTGAAAGCATGGCTGACCTGAATGCATGGCCGGTTGCGTACAGAATGCAGTTCGTAAGGTGCAATGTGACGGAAGCGGCCAGAGACTGGTTTCTGTACAAAGAGTTCGCGGACTGGGGCGATTTCGTCAAACAATTTCGGGCTACATTCGTGCGTAAAATGTTAGTCTCAGACTGTTGGGATGCCCTGAAAAATCGGAAACAAGGGAAAGAAGAACCTGTCATGAAATATTTCCAAGAAAAGGTACGTTGGTGTAGAGAACTATCACTTGGTTTTTCCGAAACACGAGACTATGTAATTCGGGGACTGAACAAGTGGGAACTCGCGCAATATGCGTTAGGAAGAGATCACAAAGATCTAGACGATTTATTACATGATTTACTAGACTGGACTCGCATGTATACGGTCCGTGGTGAACAAACGAGGTATGTAAAACCAGATAAAGACGTGAAAAAAGATTTTGGACCACGAAGCTACAAATTTGTACCGAAATCGAACGACGATGCGGGTGCAAAGGCGGCGGAAACGGCTGACATCGCCGGGGGATCGTCAGAACACGAGCCAAGTTGTTGGAAATGTCATAAAGTGGGACATGTTCCGAAGGACTGTCCTGTGAAACACAAAAGTGCCGTGAAGTGTTATTCATGTCAAGGAGAAGGACATTTTGCGAGACAATGTCCAAAGCGGCGGACGACGAATTCGGTGACGGAACCTAAAGAAATCGCTTCACATCCTTATGAAAAATGTGGGACGGTCAACGGGCAGAGTGTGAAAGTTTTGATTGATACGGGCAGTCATTATTCATTAATTAAGACTTCAATCGCAGAAAAATGTAGACTTCCGATAACTGAAATCAACACTAGTTTGTATGGAATTGGTGACGTGAACAATCCCTCAGTGACTATTAGTGGTAGGATAGTGTCCACAATTGTCGTTGATGAAGTAGAGGCGGGTCCTGTACAATTGCTGATAGTTCTGGATAATGCACAACAATCAGATGTAATCGTCGGACGGAATTGGCTTGACGATCCAGCAGTACTTTATTGGAAAGAAGATGGACAAATGAAATTAGCAAAGTCAAAAGACCAAATTGGGATACGAGACACCACAGCTACGAGTGTAGACGGACATATCGATGTATTACAAGTGATCGCGTTGGACAGTGGAGTGGATAGACGACCATTGACCATTGATGATTTCAAGTATGTAAATGCTGAAGTAAAACCAAATGAGCAACGCTCACTGATAGATTTAGTTAACGAGTACAGAGACTGTTTCGCGCTTAATTTAAAAGAATTAGGTTGTACTAGTTTGACTAAGATGGAACTACATGAGGTAGAAGGCAGTGCGCCTGTGGTCTGTCGTCCCTATAAGACTACAGCGACCGATCGGGAAGCAATCGCTGAGATTGTACGAGACTGGAAGGAACATGGAATAGTAGTTGAAACAGAGTCGCAGTATGCAAGTCCAGTCATATTAGTGAAACAAGGTGACAAAAATCGACTGTGTGTTGACTACAGACAACTGAATAAACAGGTGAAGAGGCACAACTTCCCACTACCGGATATGCATGAACAAGTCGAGGCATTGGCGACAGGCAAGTACTTCGTGCAGTTGGATTTGGCGACTGGTTATCTTCAATTACCATTAACCGAAGACGCTCAGGAGAAGACTGCGTTCGTCACGCCTGACGACACAGGACAGTTCACACGCATGCCGTTTGGGTTGGCGGGAGCACCTGGAGAGTTTACAAGACTAATGCATCGTGTATTAGGTAAGCTACGCAATACTGTTGTTAAAAACTACCTAGATGATTGGGTCATTGACGCAACCAGTTGGTCAGAAATGTTGGAAAAACTGAAAGAGGTGTTGATTCGATTGCGTTTTGCCAATCTGACTCTAAAACCAGGCAAGTGTTCACTGGGTGCTAATCACATAGAATTTTTGGGTTTTGTCATTGGTGGAGGAACAATATGTCCGGGAAATGCGAAGACGAGAGCGGTGCAAGAGTTTCCGACTCCGAATGACGTTCATGCAGTACGCAGGTTCCTAGGGTTAACAGGTTTCTTCCGGAGGTTCGTGGAGAACTATGCCACAATAGCGCTACCACTGTCGAATCTGACAAAGGCCGGGACAACATTTGTGTGGAATGAGCCACAGCGGGAAGCATTTGATAAACTAAAAAGTGTTCTGGTAAGTAAACCGGTGATGAAAATGTTTAACCAAAATGCTTTTTCAACAGAAGTACACACAGATGCCAGTTCGGTGGGAATAGGAGCAATGCTGTTACAACGGGACAAAGATGGTGAAGCACCGAAGTTGGTGTACTGTATCAGTAAGAAGTTAACTGAGGCGGAGTCAAAATACCACTCAGGAAAATTGGAATTAATGGCTGTGATATGGGCGGTGAATAAGTGGCGTAATTTTTTACTAGGCATTAAATTCACAATACTTACAGACTGTCAAGCCTTGGTTTACCTGAGGGCTCACCGAGCTCTGAGACCTCAAATCGCTAGATGGCATGATCTGCTACAAGAATATGAATATGACATTCAACATCGGCCGGGGAATAAGATGGCACATGTGGATGCATTGTCAAGAGCGCCAGTGACGGAGAGCGACGGCACAACTTTGAATGATGTACTCGCGGAGAGACTGGACGTTTATGTGACCATTACTCAGGAGGAAAGAGTGCTGATGGCACAAACTGCTGATGAGGACATCAAAGATATAATCAAGATACTGAAGAAGCCCGAAGAAGCCCGAAGAAGAGAGAACTAAGTCGGAAAAAGCTCAGGCACGTGGATTTGAACTACAAGGGCAACTACTGTATCGATTCCACAACGGGAAGAAACTATTTGTTATGCCAAAGAGTATGCGAAAGAGCATAACGGTTGTGGCACATGATCTGTGTGGTCATTTATCAGTAGAGAAGACAGTGAGCCAAATCTTGCAAGATTATTGGTTCTCAAAGTTGAGAAGATATGTGCGAAGACATGTGAAGATGTGCATAGAATGTTTAATGTCTAAGAAACCAAGAGGAAAACAACCAGGACCACTACATCCTATTCCAGTGGGAAGACGTCCATTCGATACGGTTCACATGGATCATATAGGACCATTTGTGACTACTCCAACAGGAAATAAGTATATACTAGTCATTGTTGACAATCTCACAAAGTTTACATGTTTGTTTGCAGCAAAAGACACAAGTACTAATGGTACGATCGACAACTTGACAACGTTAGTGCAAATGTTTGGACTGCCCAACCGTTTGGTCACTGACAGAGGAACATGCTTTACGGCCAGAAAGTTTGAAGAGTTCTGCGAAGAGAAAGGGGTACACCATACGTTAACCTCAACGCGAAGACCACAAGCAAACGGGCAAGTAGAACGTACAAATAGTATTGTGCTATCTATGTTGGTGACGCAGGTTACGAAAGAAGATGAATGGGACCAGTGGCTGCCAGTAGTACAGATGCAGATCAATAACAGTGAGAGCAAGGTAACTCAGAGGACGCCATTCGAACTGTTACATGGGTACCGACCTCGGTTTAGAATGGGGAAGACAAGAGAACTATCAGAAACAGTAGACACTTGGACGTGTCCAATTGAACTGTGGGAGGAGGCCAGGGAAGCTTCTGAGAGGTCAAAAGCAAAGATGAAAGAAGACTATGATTTGCACCGACACAACAACACTAAGTATACGGTTGGAGAAATTGTTGTGATGACGACAGTGCCTACTCATACAGGGCAATCAACCAAATTGCAAAATAAATACAGGGGACCACTGACAATCACAGAAGTATTGCCAGGAGATGTCTATCGAGTTGCTCAACTACAAGAAGATCAGAAAAGACTGTTTACAACAACAGCACATGTATCTCAGCTCAAATCCTGGAGGTTGGAGGATGAACCAGACGAAGCGAGTGATACCAGCGAGGAAGAAGGACGAGGGCCAAATGGTGCGACTAGTTGTGAAGATGATGCTGATCCACCACCTGCAGAACACCAGAAGAATGGCAAAGAGGTCAGGAAATCGGACAGGGTCAGGAAGAAGCCTACAAGACTAGACGATTATGTCTAACGACACTTATGACAACTAAGATAATTAATAATGTTTTGTTTGTTTGTTTTTTTTTTTTTTTTTTGTTTTGTTTATTTATATTTTGTATATCATGTAATATGCTATGAGGACATAGCAAGGCAGGAAGGCCGAGTGTAAAGTGTGAGTTGGTCAGACTGCTCTAGCTGGACACTAGTCCTGAGCGGAATGCCAGTACTGTCTAGGAGTCTCGACTAGACGTTCATCGTAGTCATTAGTCAGTAACAGTTGTTTCATGTAAAAATGTTTTCTTGTTTGTACAATAAATAGCGAATGGTTAAAGAAGAAATTGGTTGTACTTCTTTTAATTATATATTTAACACTTATTTCTATGAACCGCAGATTATTTAATGGGATAGAAAAAAATAATAATAACTAATAAGCTCGGTGAAAAAAAATAAACTAAATATTCACAGGAAAAAGATTGCATGACCTCCATAATTTATAAAACATGAACAAATAGGATATTTCTAATTGCACAGGTCTAATTAATGTATATATCATGGTAGCGTTTAACTCCCCCAAGAGTAATACTGTCCCGTGGACTGTATCATTTTTCAACGTTTTAAACCGCGGCATTTATAATACTATACAAACGTGCAACGTTGTAATTGTACAATATAAATAAAGCGTACCGACTTTTCACACTTATTTTATATGAAATAATCTGGAATTTAAGTCGAAACTAAAATTTAACAGGGGCGGTATCCATTTGACGAGTTCTCAAATACGTTTATAAATGCCTCAGAAAAATACGATTAGACTTCTATACCATTCGAGCAAGCCGAGTGTTAACGACTATTAATTACATGCCTGAAAATTAAAATAAAATAGTATTATATTATATTGGTAGGCAATTACTTTTGCCAGTTGACTGCGATCAGTGACAAAAAAAAAAACTCTATGAAAAAATAGTTATATTATAAAGATTACTTCTATGATTTAAAATTGATAAATTTAATTAAATATGTATTTAGAGGAGACCGGGGTACAATGATAAATATTTTTCATATTCAGTATAACATTATAAATATTTATTTTGTTAATAATATTTGGTTGTACTCAAACTTTTTCAGGTATAATAATTATAATGATAGTAATAATAATAATAATAATAACAAAAATAACAAAAATAATAATGTAGATTGGTGAACCCAAGCCGACCAGTGATTTGATATGGCGACTGTATCAGTCATACAAGGAGTATCCACACTGGATGGAGGTACAAACTTGTTCTACCCTAGGGTACGTGTATATGTCTTGTAAATTTAATCGTTACTTTCAGAATCTAAAAAAGTAGGTATAATTTTACACATAGGTTGCTATGGTACCTAACCTAATTATATAAATCATTGGTTGCTAGGTGAAACCTAAGACATTTATAATTTCATAACATTGATTTCATCTTTGTTATTGTTTGGTTGTCATGGCAACTGTAACTTGTAACGGTCAGAAAAATACAATAAATATTTTAGGCTCCCAGCCTCAATACGGTGCCACACAAAATTAAAGAATGTCCCCACAGCGGCACAGCCGTTGATCCGTACGACATAATCTATACATAATATATATGTCAATAACAATTACGCAACAGTATAATATAACTTGTTACGGGTAATTGTCTATACTCGATAGCCTATATTGTACTATCCTAATGCCATATTTGTGTTTTGATTGTCATCAGAGTACACAGTAAGTCACTATAATATAATTATTAATTTAGTAGATATAATATGCATATTATTAGATTATAAACGGGCTCATTTATATCAATGAAAATTTAACCACGTCAGTTGAACCTTCACATCTTGGATTTGTCTGGATAATGGTTCAATTATCAACTTATTGTATATGCACTTTGTTTCCGGTGTCGCAGGTTTCTAATACCCTCTAATATTTTTAGAGGGGCGGGGGGGGGGGGGGTAAATTATCCTGGGATAACTTTACTGGGGGTAAAATTAAACTAGGTAGTATATTTTTACCGGGGGTAAAATAAACCTAGGATATTTATACCACCAGTAAAATTTTATGGGGGATAAAATTATACTAGGTTAATTTTACCCCCGCTAATATATAGTATATTATTATCCTAGGATATTTTTACCAGGGGGGGGGGGGGTAAAAATCGACTGTTACATAATATTCCTGGTCAACGCTGCCGCCGGATTATGTTTAATAAGTAATAATAATAAAATATCATAGAGAAAATAAAAAAATGATCGTTTTATTCAGTAATTCGTGATCTTCAGTTATGATAATATACGCTACTCTGTATTGTCCACTCAGAAGAAAATGTATGAATTAAATATATGTATTAATAAGTAGGTAACCATTATAATTGTATATAATATTATAATATACCTAGTGGGAATTAGATAATGGTTACATTTGTATTCGTTTCAATGGTGATAAACAAAGCATTACGCAATATCGGTTAGAACATAAAAATATCTGTACCCAGCCTAAAAATTCAATTATGTTAAAACAATAATATTTATGTCAGCATCTAGCAATAAATAGGTTAAATGTCAACGTTATCAATTAATTATGTATAAGTGTACTTATCACATACGTACCTACCTATTATATTATTTAAATTTTTGTCAAAATAATAAATTATTCGTAAGTCGGCGTGCCACATAAACAATTTCATTGTTATCAAAAATGTTATCAATGTTGGGTTAGGTTATAATATTATAAGTGTATATGTAAATATATTAATGTTATAGAAATATATATTAAATTTATTTCTACTTTTTTATTATAGGTTGACGCGTAGAAATGTGTGGGGTTGATAAATAGATACGTTCTTCCACAAATGCGCACATATGATACTTTCAAAATATAATATACCTATTAATATTGATATCGTGGCGGAAAGCGTAGTTTAAAATACAGTTTTTGTATACACATTATTTTTACCTTTAGTTAAAGATGTGAAAATAATTTGTTTCAACGGAGCACCGACAATATTATGCTTATGTATTATATAGTATATACCTATATAATATATAAAATAAACCTTGTTGTACATAAATCAAACAGCTTTCTGCTTTTTGAAGTTCAAGTCCTGTCTTTTTCCTAGCTAGTCTCTTCGGTGTAAATTTATAGCGCCACAGTCACACCCATGCATTATACCTAGTGCACTTGCAACTTAAGAGCACTTAAAGCTGTTAGCAAAGACGTTAAATTATTCGTCAAATGTATCTGCCTTTGGACATGACACATATATGTAGGGTATGCTACACATTATTTTAAGGTATCCATACATTTTAAGACTTGAAAGGATTTTATCCAGGAGATGGAAACCAACAGCTCGGGGGAGAAAGGAAGAGTCACACAAATATTGGGATCCAGATTTCACTTTTGGAAAATTACTTTTTTCATTTATTTGATTGAAATACCTAAGTGCCTAGATTGTGATGGATTTAATTTCAATATATAAAAGCCCAATAAAATATTTTTCTCTGTCCAGACCATTTGGACGGTTTGATAGTGTTAAACATAATATTATATATACTAAAATATATTTTACATGACTATGTTGTATAGTATGATTTATTTAAGAAATGTTACGAAAACAAAATAAAATAGCTATTTTATTTTAGACCATCTAAAATTATTAACTGTGTCTAGATCTTCATTTTTTCATACTTGGATCCATGACTAAACCTATCAATACACATTTTTCAAAGTTGGATTTTTTCAAAAACTGACAATTATTCTGATTTTACTTCCGTGACATTTTTCTGTCAATTTTATCAATTATAACAATAATAATGTGTATTTTATTATATTAAATCATACCCAACAGTCTTATTTTGTAATTTTTTTTAATTTTTAATCGATGAATATGAAATGCTATAGTTGATCCAGTAAGGTGTTGCCCCGTGATAAGTTAGATAATACCAGTGGATTTAACGTCTTGCACCCCGGTAAATGTAAACTACACATATTTTTAACATTTGGGTGGTTTTGACCAAATATAAAATACAGGAATACAATTGTATGCAATTATAGCGTTATAATTTTCGTTTGCTATGAGCCAAAAAATCCATGTTAAAGCCTTATTTTAAAATGCAATATTGGAAAATTTGGCTTGAAGGTGAATATCCTCAGATATAAGATTACCTATGTACCAATGTTAGAACCATGGGTGCGATATAATTTGCTGTGGATCGCTATCACACACACACACACACACATACAATTTCCTAAAACTAATATTGATACTTATAGATAAAAAGATTATGATTGGTCACCATTGACTACTTTTAATTAACAAATGTAAAATGCTAATAATCGTTACTCAATAATAATATCTTACATATATCTTACAGGGTGGTTCACAAACTATAATCACCTCCATTTATTTCCTTTAATAATAAAATTATTCAAATTATGATTTTCGGAATTTTTAAATAAAAGACCTATTTTTAAAATTCTTGATTTAATTTGTAATAATTACGATAAACATTTGTTTTTAAAATGAAAACGCCCTTTTTTACTGTAAAATATTTAGTGGATTTATTGTTTGTACATTTTAATGTACCCGACTCAAAATTCGGACGAGTAGTTTTTAACTTATTTAAACGTTTATTCTAAGGATAATAGTCCTTAAAAGTGATTTTACAAAAACATGAAACAGATGTAGTATTAAATCTAATATATATTACAAATTATCAATGTTGATAAATTAATATTAATCACCAACATTTTTAAACCACCATAGCCTCCATATCTTCCAAATCCATTATCATGGACAAAAAGTTAAATAACTAAAAAACTACTTTTTTACATTTTGATTCTGATACGTCAACATTTTCAGAAAAATTATCTAGTAAGTAAATTAATTTGAAAAGTGGTGTTTTCATTTGAAAATAGAAGTTAGTACTACAAAAAAATTAAGAGTTAAAAAAAAGTTCTTTAAGTGTATTTGAAAATTCCAAAAATCAGAATTTTAATAATTTTTGAAAAATGAA